TTATCAGTGATTTTATTTTCTTCCAGGTCATTGATAAAAATGTTAAAAAGCATAGGGCCAAGAACCAATCCCTGCAGAACCCCACTAGAAACACCCACTTGCATTTTGAGAGCTCTCAATAGACAGCTCTTAACCCTTTTAATGTGTGCCATATTAATTTTATATCTTTCTAGTTTTTTAGCCAAAATGTCATGAGTTACCAACACAAATGTTTTACAGAAGTCTATTACCTTTTTCCTGACACAACTGCAAGAACCTCAGCTGATGGTGGTTTCATAGGATACCAGAAAAGTCAATTAATATGTGGTTCTATTGTGTTGAGCCTTAATGTGGCTTGAAATCTTAAATTGCCAAAGGTGGGTGAAAGGTGGCAGGATATGATTTTAACCTATATACGTGTTATGTAAAGCTGTTGAAAGAAAACACAATGATGGCTAAGGAATTATGTAAATTGAGTTTTTTGAACTAAAAGAACAGTCACTCGGGCTTTCAAGCCTGGTGAATTTGCAGAATTGTAGCCACAGGCAAAAGTGTTCTTAAGATGAGAGCAAGCATGCAGGTATGGACCATCTGGCACTTGTTTTGGTTGCTACTCCTTTTGGATGTTGCTTTTCTGGGCAGCACTTGTCAGTTTGCTTATGCATGGCAGCAAGCTAATGTCTGGTAGGGAGAACTATACTGCATCTCACTCTTGGCTGAGACTTTCAACACTGTTGTAAACCTACTGGGACTCAGGGATTTATGGTCATACCGTTGGGCCTTCTTTTCCTGGTGCTGAAAGATGTTCTGACTAAACAAAAACGTTGGGTGGGGGAACAGGCAATAGTACCATCTCCACAGTTGTGTTCTGAGCAACTTCTGAGATGGGAAACTAAAGTTCCTGCTATTACTCCTGTCATAGTTAAAGGGTGAACTGCAACTGAGGGCTGGTCTACACTAACCCCCCAATTCAAACTAAGATACACAACTTCAGCGATGTGAATAACGTAGCTGAAGTCGACGTACCTTAGTTCGAACTTACCGCCGTCCAGACGAGGCAGGCAGGCTCCCCGTCGATTCCGCGTACTCCTCTCGCCGAGCAGGAGTACCGGAGTTGACGGCGAGCACTTCTGGGTTCGATTTATCGCGTCCAGACAAGACGCGATAAATCGAACCCAGAAGTTCGTTTCCTTGCCGCCGAACCAGCGGGTAAGTATAGACGTACCCTCAGACCTCTCCTGGTCTCTTTGAGTGCATCCCTCTCAGGCCTCTAGCCATTGCCTTTCTTCGGGTAGAATTACAGGATTCTCCCACTCTTAGGCAAGGCTCTGGGTTGCAGTCTCCTGTGATGAATTGTGAGTACCTCAGCAGGCCTGACTTACCTTCAATGCCTGTAGCTTTGTTCCCTCTGGGAGCAGTGGTAGTGGTAACCAGTGACCAAACAGCCTTTGCTTAAATACTTTTTCTTAAAGCAAAGTATTTACTAAGAACCAAAGCATTTAAGAGAAAACCGATGTCTCCCTATGGCTTACATTGCCTGGGTCTGGGGAAACGCCCAGCTTCTTCAGATTCCCTCTGCAGTTTTACTCTGTTAACCTGTTACTCTGGACAGCTCCTGATTGACCCTCTTTTCCTTTCATGAGCAGGGCATTTAACTATTTATGGCCCTTTGATTTGTTAGTTCCCAGCATTGGCAGAAGAGTTGTGACTTCGGCTTTGAGCCTGGAAGTATGCCATTGGCCTGTAATTGCCTCCCAGTGTTTGCTGGGGGGTTGCTTATCTATAGCTATTGTGTTGTTTTCCACAGCCCCCTATTAAGTTATATTAATGGATTCATACAGGAAAGTTTTATAACTCAGTAAACAATAACTTCACCTCACTGACCAAGTCTCACAGAACATGTCTATGCTTAAATCAAAAACACATGGCTGGCCTGTGCCAGCTGACTCAGGCTCGCAGGGCTGAGTCTGAGGGGCTGCTTAATTGCTGTGTAAATGCTCTGTCTGGAGCCTGAGCTCTGGGACCCTCCCTTCTTGCGGGGACCCAGAGCCTGGGCTCCAGCCCAAGCCTGAACATCCACACCACATTTAAACAGCCCCTTAGCCCAAGCCCCACAAGCCTGAGTCAGGTAGCATGAGCCAGCCATGGATGTTTAATTGCAATATAGACATACCTATAAGGTACATCTAAGTGACAAGAAACAAAACAAAACTCCCGCAGCAGCAAGTCGCAGAGCCTGGATCAATTGACTTGGTCTCATGCTGCAGGGCTAAAAATAGCAGTGTAGAAGTTCCTGATCGGGCTGGAGCCCAGGATCCAAAATCTGGCAAGGGGGGTGAGTCTCAGATCCTGTGCTCCAGTCCGAGCAGGAGCATCTACACTGCTATTTTTAGCCCAGCAGCATGAGCCTCAGTCAGTTGACTGGACAATGAGACTTGCTGCTGCAGTAAGTTTTTTGCATTGTAGGCATACCCATAGCGTTGATAAAATTATCACATCTCAGTGTTTCATGTGGAGATGCTATTTAATAATCTGTCACAGCTCCTTCCCTCATGTTTTCCTCACCCTCTTAGAATCATAGAATATTAGGGTTGGAAGGAACTTCAGGGCGTCATCTAGTCCAACCCCTTGCTCAAAGCAGGACCAATCCCCAGATAGATTTTTGCCCCAAATCCCTAAATGGCCCCCTCAAGGATTGAACTCACAACCCTGGGTTTAGTAGGCCAATGCTCAAACCACTAAGCTATCCCTCCTCCCCTTGTATTTTTCTTTTTTCCTTTTATTTAATGAGGGTCTGACTTAGCCAGCCAGACAAAATTAACCTTGCAATACTGCTGTGACCAGAGAGGCAAGCTGAAAGCAATAGCCTGAGTACGGTAGGTTCTGGAGTGCTTAATAAGGTCCTGTACTAAGTGCTGACACTTTCCAGCAATTAAACAGCAAGCAGAAGAGACAGAAGCTGTATTTACTTTCTTTTGCTGTTCTTTCCCCGATTTCCAAAATTTTGTATGTGTGCCTCCTGTATTCTGTTAAGAAGAGAGAGGATTACACCAGGGGTCAGCAACCTTTCAGAAGTGGTGTGCCGAGTCTTCATTTATTCACTCTATGTTAAGGTTTCGTGTGCCAGTAATACATTTTAACGTTTTTAGAAGGTCTCTTTCTATAAGTCTATAATATATAACTAAACTATTGTTGTTTGTAAAGTAAATAAGGTTTTTAAAATGTTTAAGAAGCTTCATTTAAAATTAAATTAAAATGCAGAGCCCCCCGGACCGGTGGCCAGGACCCAGGCAGTGTGAGTGCCACTGAAACTCAGCTCGCGTGCCGCCTTTGGCACACGTGCCATAGGTTGCCTACCCCTGGATTAGACTTTTAACAGTGCCTAACAACCTAAAACTTAGTGTTTCATACCATCTGAGTGTCTGTTCATTAAACGTTTTTCTCATTAAAATATTCTGTGGAAATAGAGAGAGATAATAGGAGAGCTTTGTTAAATTGTTTTAATTTTTTTCTTTTTTAATTGAATTTTTGTTTGCTAATGTACAAGTGAAACTGAGGCCCTGGCAGCATAAACCTGTATCCAGTTACTGTTACTTTCTCTATTGCCATAACATAACAGATAGGGTAGCTGGAAAATAACATCCTAAAAAAACTATCTGATCATCACAACAGTTCTTACTGACTCCAGCTCTCCCCAGGTGAAGGGCTCAGTTTACCTGTCATAGTCAACATAGACGCAACCTATTAAAGGGGATTTCTGATATTTAGTCTCCTCTGCTTAAGCAACCAAACCCTTTGTCTCAGAGACCATTCATTTGAGGCTGGTTTCCGGAGTTCACAAAAACTGCTAATCTTCCACTGCTTCTAGTGGGATCCCCACTTGTAGCTGGCTTCTGATAAAATATATGTTAGATATCTTAAAGCTTTCATTGATTTATAACAATATTTAGGTATTTCTCACTTACTATAGTGATCTTAAGAAACAGGATTGGATTCTTAACAGAACCAAACAATGAGGAACAGGTAGCAAGGTGATCTCCCATCTCTCTCTGTTTTCTCTTCTGATTACTCTTTGTTTAGTTTTTTTCCACTATGAGCGTGTGTGCATGTGCTATGTCAGTTCTAAAGGAAACTCTTGAATTGGATTGTTCAGATGGAAGGCCAGTATCACTAATTTCTTTTGATGTCTTGTCTCCAACTGCTGGTGGGAGGATGAAAAAATCCATTGTCTATACTGGCACCTCACTTCCTATACTCCCTCCATTCCCACCCTCTCAGAATTAAGAGATAACCAATTAGAAGGTAAGTAAATTACCGTTCCGGGAGAAGAATGCCACTGGGGGATTTTTGTCTCCAAAATACAGAGCTTTTTATTCAGTTATTGCTGTCAGTGACAGTTTCTTGTGAGCGGAATTCCTCTTTTCCTTTGTCCCAAGATTTCTCACTAAGTAGGTTACTTAGGCTAGGTCTACACTACCCGCCTGAATCAGCGGGTAGAAATCGATCTCTCGGGGATCGAATTATTGCGTCTCATTGGGACGCGACAATCGATCCGCAAATCGACGCTCTTACTCCACCAGCGGAGGTAGGAGTAAGCGCCGTCGACGGGGAACCGCGGAGGTCGATTTTGCCGCCGTCTTCACAGCGGGGTAAGTCGGCTCCGATACGTCGAATTCTGCTACGCTATTCACGTAGCTGAATTTGCGTATCTTAAATTGACCCCCCTCCGTAGTGAAGACCTGCCCATAATGCAGAGATTTTCAGTGACACACAGCTGGGAGTTAGGAACATTGAATTTTGATGGGAATTGGGCACCAAGCTGTCATTTTCTTTGAAAATCACATCCATAGTACTTTTATGGCCTAGTCCTTTTTCCTCATGCATCTCAGCAGGTCCCCTGTTTTAGGCTTGGGTACTAACTATTGAAAAGCTTAGGATGCAGCTTGTTAGTTACAAATCGCTGACTAACAGTGCTGAAATTTCTAGTTTTAATATTGTTTTCTTTTCTGACTTTTTTCTAGGATGCTACAGTTATCCCCCACCTAATGGCACTGCTTAGTAGGTCTCGATATACACAAGAATACATATGTCAGATCTTCTCACATTGCTGCAAAGTAAGGAAAGAGAATAAATATTCTCTATGAGGGTTCTTGTATTTCTGCCATTTAGAAACTGAATAAGATAATAAAGACTTTTATGGCTGGAACAGTAGGACAATAAAGACTGAATCTCTCTCCCTCCCACCCCCATTTGCTGATAGTGTTTCTGGGATTATAGGTAGATACAGCTCTTGGATAAAGCAAAGTAGGCAAATAATAAGAACTTTGGGTTTATTGGGAATAGAATGTATTAACCAAAAAATAAAAACAAAAATTGAATGAATCATAAAACTTCATTGTCAGCATGACTATATTTGAGGATTTCAGTTTTTCTTGTTGCTCTGCTTTGGGAATTTATTGAATCAACCTTTTAGCTCATACTGCCTCTGTCGGCTCAAGGCAGCCATTTTGTACCCATGATACTTTGTATTTGGAGAGATTATAGACCAGTGAAAAGTGTTCTTGTATTAAAATTGTACTCTTCCTCATTAGTTCATATGTAGTGAGTGTGCATATGTATGTACTTATGGAATTGCAATTTTTTATTTAATTAAACTGAGAACTGAAAATAAAGTGACATTAATGATCTAATTAAAATCTCAGCTCTTAAAAGAGGCTTTCTTTTAGCAAAAGTATCAGATATCTAGAGGAAAACTCTTACAATACGGAGAACACTAGAGCAAAATATACAAATTAATGTAAAGTTTGTGGTTAACATGGTGAAAGAAAGACATTCCAGTTCCTATTATTTCTGCTTATTTATCTTTTATGTGGAATCTTATTCCAACATTACCTTAAATCCTGCTAATCTTGCATTAGTTTGATGAAATCAAGGATTATCCAGTTTAGTCAGTTACTCCGGGGGTCACTTATAAGATGAAAACTAGAACCTTTAAAATATTAAATAGATGTCTCAAATATGTGTTTTTTAACCAGAAAAAAATTCCAAGCAAAAAAGTCCAATTGAAAACTGAGTAAGAAGATATAGTTTGGAAATGTGTTCTTTACAATGAATGCTGTGTTACAACAATTGTTAGCACATTATTGTAGAAGTGTTAGCACAGGATTGATTGTATAAAACACAAGCTTGCATATAAATGGAAGTAGTAGCTCAGCAGCACTACACAACCAAATCAGGTATATGAAAACTGGATCTCTTACCCTTGAGCATCCAACTCTGCTGTGAAAAGGATGAATTCTGCCTTGCTCTCCTTGACAAAAGGAACACCTTGCCCTGTTTTGTAACACTTGCCAACTTTTCTGTATCATAAATATTTAATTAACTAAACCAAACCCCATTCACTAATAAAGAAAAAAGTAAAAAAAGTCTTCTATAGCCACTATGCTATTTTCACTGAACTGAAAAAATTGGGACATTTAGTTTACCATGAATATTTTGAAAACTTCACATTTTACAGCAAAAATGTAAAAATCTTGAAAATTTTCACATGAAATTATAGAAACCACGAGCATGTAGGGCACACTGAATACATGAGTGTGAATGATTGAAAATACAAATGAGTAATGCTAAATTAAATAGTTGACATAAAATAAATCCCAGAATCATAACAAGAAAACACTACTGTTTTAGAATAGGTAAGAGGATCAAATAATATAAAGAGAGAGAGATCCAAATTTTTGATGCTTTGAGGTCTTCTGAAGCTGTTTCTTAAATTGGTCAAGAACTTGATCTTTGTTTTTCTAGATAAATAGAATCTTTCATGGGAAACTTGAAAATACCTCCTTTTTTTTTCTTTTTAGCTGCTTTATTCCATGGGTACAAGATCTAGCGACCAAGACAAATGCTCTACTACTGTGCCTTCAGATATAATACCAGGCAGTTGATATGTCAGAATCTAACATACTTGCAAGGGTTAAAGAAAACCTGTTTTTCTGTCTTGTACAGATAGGCAAGATATCAAACACCCATGAAAGTTTCAATATGCCTGTGGCAGTGGATAGTTCTGAGCTTATTTAATGAAAGCTACTATCTTCCCTTGAACAGATTGTGTGCTGGAGAGAATCTTTCTCATTGATTTCTCTGGGGAAAACACGTCACTATGAATACTGGTTTTAGGTAAGCTTCAACATGTATTTTAAAGGGTTATTTGTGCTTCAATGTATTTTTTTTCTTTTGTTTACTTTCTAGGCAGGTGGTCTAGCATTTGTGAAGATAACTGACACCACACTCCCCTTAAGAACCAGTGTTCCTGTGAAGGGTTCCCCACTGCCTCCCTCTTCCTGGGCAGAAGGTCAGCTCAGGTCGCGGGAGGCTTCTTTGCCTATCAACTTTTTTCTCTCTTTTCCACCTCAAAATTTCACTGACGACAGCAGACATTTTCCTTAGATAGAAAATCCTTACTCAATGTTGTTAGTATGGTTTCACACTTCCTTTTGTTTGTGGCATATCTTTTACTATTTTCACTGAGAGTTTTGAGCTTAAAAAAAAAATGGAGTGGAAATGACTGACAGAATGACGACTCTGGAGAGATTTTGGATGGACGTGAAGGGGAATGCTGGTTCTTGGGGCAGGAGGGAGGCCTGTTCTTTACATACAAATCTTGGACACCATCTGCCTATAAAATAAACAAAATCAAGTTATTGAAAACCAAGCTACAATAATGCACAAAGCATTGTAAAATGCATGTTGAAACTTACCTTGAAAGGGCATTCGGGGTTAAGGTTCTCTCTGTCACAGTTAATCTGTTTTCAGGGAAGATGGCACAAGTGAAGAAGCTTTATTACTACTTTAATTGTCAAAGTGAGCTTTTTATTTTTAAAAGGCCTGTTCTTTTTGATACATGATTGTATGGTACCAAAATTTGGAAAATTAGTACTTGAAATTTCATTTGAATGTAATTGCTATTACTGTTTAAATAATACCTTCATCAGCTATGCAGAATACATGAAATTCACCCCAGGCAGCAGTACAGCACTAGGCTTATGAACTAGCTAAATCCCTCGTAAGCCTTATTCTAAGGATGTAAGTGGGCCGTAGCTAGTTTGTAGGCCTTGTGCTGAACTTCTGCACAAGAGTCTGTTGCATCCAAAGATATTTTTGAGTCTCTTTGATGTTTGTCATCATAAATTTTGTTACATGGTTCTTTTGAACATCATCAGTAATAGGCCATGCTATTTTGTTGAAAATCAAGTTTTTATGACGATCTGTAAGTAATGAATGAAAAGTAATCAAGAGCTGTTATTTCTGTTCCCCAAATGCTACATGAAAGGAAGATTTAAAACTGAAATACCTTGATTCTTTGGAGGACAGGCACAGTATCATTAAGATAGGTCCTAGAACTCCACCATTGTACTCCAAGAATAAGAAAAGCAATTACCCCTCATTATTGACTCAGTTTCTGAGATATCTGAAATTAAAAATGAGTTATATAGTGTATAATCAAGTCTTCACATGTCTAGATTTAAAACAACTTTCTATTTATTGTTGAATAAGTCTGACAGTAGAGTTCTTAAATGTGGGCTATTAATACATAGTCAGATTTTCAAAGATATGTATGCATATATTAAGCATACCTGATTTGTCCAAGGAAACACTTTAAGTGTATGTCCAAACTGAATATTTTTTGCGTGCATGTTTAGTTGTGCAGCTAACTAGCCATGAGTGCACACAGCTAACTCATTTGTGTATTCATGGTGGTATTTACACACAACAGATTAGATGATTCTCTTTGAAAATCTGGCACATGGGAACTAGATAAGTGATATATTTATCAGGTTACAAAAACAAGTTAAATCAAAGCAATTCTTGACTTCATTTTCATTCATTTCTCCCCCCGTCTTTTAATATCTTTTCTTTAGCTTCGACACTGGCATAGCTGCGGCTTTAAATCATCGCCTCAGCCACTTCTATGTGCCAATGTAAGTGTTTTTCTACAGCAAACAAGGTATTTTAATCGCATTTTTAATAGGAAGTTGTCAGTGGTAGCAGCTGAAGCGTCTTAAAGCATCAGATATGTTATATCTAAAAGTAATTTTCATGGTTTTTCTGGAAAAGGATAATTATAAATGAAGTACACCTCTACCTCGATATAACGCTGTCCTCGGGAGCCAAAAAATCTTACCGCGTTATATTGAACTTGCTTTGATCCACCGGAGTGCGCAGCCCCTCCCCCCCGGAGCGCTGCTTTACCACGTTATATCCAAATTCGTGTTATATTGGGTCGCTTTATATCGAGGTAGTGGTGTAGTAAAAATATTTTACATAATACCTTTTAAAAAAAAAATCACTGTTTTTAAATGACTCCTAAAAAGCTTGAAAATGAAATGTCTCGACCATTGTCAGATGCACAGAGGTATGTAGGATTGTTCATGTATGCCAGGTTGGTTTAAGTATGAGAGAGAATACTGAAATTTTCATTCTGGCAGGAAGACCATTAGCATTTAGGCTGCAAATCAATCAAGAAAATCAGGCAGTGTTTTGCAGTTCAAATTTGGTGTTTCCCACCTTTGTCTCTTTAAACCAATGAGATGTGCACAGAGCAGACATCACACCAATGTGGATGCTCCAGAGCAGAAACTGGGGATATGTATTTTATTCTAGTGCAGGGGTCGGCAACCTTTCAGAAGTGGTGTGCCGAGTCTTCATTTATTCACTCTAATTTAAGGTTTCGCTTGCCAGTAATACATTTTAACGTTTTTAGAAGGTCTCTTTCTATAGGTCTATAATATATAACTAAACTATTGTTGTATGTAAAGTAAATAAGGTTTTTAAAATGTTTAAGAAGCTTCATTTAAAATTAAATTAAAATGCAGAGCCCCCCGGACCAGTGGCCAGGACCCGGGCAGTGTGAGTGCCACTGAAAATCAGCTTGCGTGCTGTCTTCGGCACGCGTGCCATAGGTTGCCTACCCCTGTTCTAGTTTCTAGGGTACTGAACTTTATTGGTAGGAATTATGTAGTTTGTGGTGACACATGCTGTCACGGCTGCTGACAATATTTAGAAATTTAACTCTGGGCCAAAACCTGACTCTTACACATTTGTAAAGGCAGTACAGTACTAGTCCCTTTACTCCCCCATATAAGAATTGTACACCGGCCTGACCAGTGTAGAGGATGATCAGATTGGTGTGCAAGGGGCCATAGAGTTGTTCCACAGGAATGGATACATAGAGCTATTAAAAAGGGGCAGGGAGCCTGTGTGATGACTGGGGTCCTGCCCTTCTCTTTCCATGCAAAAGCTAAGCAGACACCACTATAGCCTTGAGGGCATAGCAGCTCCTGTCAAGCAACAGGGTAAACCAGGAATGGGGAACAAAAGGATCCCCTGAAATGGGAGGAGGGAGGAGTCTGTCAGGGTTGTTCTTGTTCCTCCAGACGTCCTCAGTCTCGTTGAGGCCCATCATCCCTGTCTGACATCTCTGTTTTGAAGTTGCCAGCCAGTTCTGCAGGTTGGGGTGGTCCTGCCCTCAAAGGTGGGTTGTCATGGGAAGAGGCAGTGGGAGTAGAGTCGTGCACTCAACTTCCAGGGGAGGAAGGGCTCACTGATCACCTAGGATTCACTGAGATTGCTGAGGGTGGGAGGTCCCCTGAGGGTTCCATTTCTCCTCTGCTTCCATAGAGCCTGACCAGACCACAGAGATCTTGAGACTTTTGTACTGTAGAGGAGACATGGGGTCAGTATTTGGACTTGAGTTTATTTCAAACTGAATTTTTGAAAACTGAAAAATGTTTAACACCTCAGACACTTATTTTTACTAGCTCTTTAAGTACTTAAGGTTGGTGAGCTGTCTTTACAGTTGATATATTTGAAATAGTATTATAAAAAAGTTTTTAAATCTAGATTTCATGTGTAGGAGTTACTAGTGTAGGAGTGAGACACTACTCTCGCCACACTATCAGTTGACGCACATTCTGATATATGGGAACAGCTTTAGAATTGGTTACTTGCTATCTTTTCTGGGGTTGTTATGCTGAAAATGCATGGGATTAGCAATGGAAGAGGTGTTGCAGATGATTGAGAATCTTATACAATATTGCAAAGATTGAAACTGTATTTTGCCAGTAGCCCTACATCAGCTATGAAAAATAAAATCCCCATTGTCAATTATTGTAGAACTCATCCTTCATCTATTAAATTGAAATATCTTCACTCACTCTACTCCTAATCTCTCTAGTTTTGGTATTTCCTTCCAAGAATGAGAATGAAAATGACTATCAATAAGTAGGTCAAGCTCAATAGATGTAACAAAGTTAGCTTCAGATGGTAAAGAAACTAGCACATTTCCAATGTACAAAGCAAAGAATGGCAGGAAAACCTGCATTTTAATACTTACTGAAGTTACAGTTAACAGGAAGCCTCTTCCACATTTGTTTTTTAAAAGAATAAATACTCCTTCTTTTTTCTTTATAGGGTCCAGATCATCAGACAATCTTGTTTAACCATGGAGCAGTTCAGAATATTGCTCACCTATTAAGTTCCACGTCCTACAAAGTAAGGCATTAAAACTGCTTGAGATTTTGATTTCACATCAGTTATAAAAGCAATCTGTATTAATATAATTATAGAAATTATATGTTTGCACATATACGTACACACACATATAAAAGTATGCAATACACATTTCTTGGGTGCCCATCGTCGTTGTTTTTGTGTGGATATACAGAAACCTGCCACAAAATATCTGGGTGCTCTATAAAGTTAAAATACCAGTAATTGAAATAGAGCTTGACTTAGAGTCAAGCAGCCGTTCAGCCAAACAAAAGAAAATGAGCAAATGAAGACTTCTTAGAAGAAAGAGCTGGTGAAAAGGGGAGCATAGATGAGCTGACCTGGATAGAAATAAGTCAAATATGTTTTGAAAACTTGATTATGTAGTTGAAAGAGCCTGTGAGTGGTTTTTATTCCACTGAATACTTTGGAGTCTGGGCTCTACCATATGCTTTTGTTTCTGAAATCCATTCTGGATGGGTCAAGTACCAAAGAAGAATGCCGACTTGATTTCACAGTGTTGTCGTGAAGTGGTATTTCTGGGATAAGATCACACTGTATGAATTTGGATTTGGTGGCAGTGGTAGAATTCCTACCTCTAATAGCTATTTGCTGGCAGTCTGAAACTAAATTTTCAAAGCCTAATTCAAGGAGAGAGGCTGAGCAAAATTCCACAGTTTTACTCAAAACTGCATGTCTGAGTGCACACACAGATGCATACACGTTCTGTGTAAGGCTTTGAGAATTTGGTCCCTCGGGGCTAACACATAAGTAAATACATAGTTTAAACTATGTCTGTTGGTATGTGCTTGTGGAAAACATGACTGTGGATTAAAGTCAGTGCTGTGACCTTGCGGAGGCTAAGCAAATATGAAAGATTTTTAGACAAGGAGCATCTTACACAAATAATTAAGTTTGAACAATGTCACCCTCTATAAACTTTCAGAATGAAATCTTTGAATGTAAATAGTTACCTCACTGATTTTTTTTCAGTTACTACATTTAAATATATCTAAAGCTATATTGTTATCTTTTGGGGTGGGACTGTATCTTTCTGTTCACAGATCCATAGGTATAAAGGCCAGAAAACATCTTTATAATCATCCAGTTTGATCTCCAGTATAATGGGCCATACAATCTCACCCAGTGACTTCCTGCATCTATCACAATAATTTGTGGCTGATCTAGCCTTTTAGAGAGAGATCCAGTCTTGATTTAAAGATTCCTAGTAATGTAGAATTTGCCACATCTCTTGGTAATCTGTTCCAATGATTAGTTACCTGAGTGTTTAAAAATTAACGTCTTATTTCCAGTCTGAACTATGATGACTTCAATTTCCAGCCACTGGATCTTTTTATACCTTTACTTTTAGCAGTCAGAGACCTCTATCAAGTATCTTCTTCCTGTGTAGGCAATTATGGACCATAGTCAAGTAGCCTCTTAATCGTCAATAAGCTAAGTAGTTGAGCTACTTTCATTTTTTATTGTAAGGCAGGCTTTCCAGACCATGAATCATTCTTTAGTTTTATTCTGAGCCCTCTAAAATTTTTCAACATCCTTTTTGAAGTGTGCACACCAGAACTGGACAAAGTATTCCAGTGGTGGTCTCACCAGTACTGTATACTCAAGGTAATATCACCTCCCTCTACGTATTCAATATTCTCCCCTATTTGTACATGCAAGAATCACATCAGCCCCTTTGCTCACAGCATTGAGAAGCTCACATTCAGTTCGTAGTCAGCAATAACCCCTGAGTCCTTTTCATTGTCACTGAAGCCTCCATCCCATTGTAATAGTAATGGGGGATTCGATCATTAGAAATATAAATAACAGGGTTTGTGATGACCGAAAGAACCGCATGGTGAATTGCCTGCCGGGGCAAAGGTTGCAGATGTCTCGAGATGTCTAGACAGGCTTATGTATAGTGCTGGGGAGGAACCAGTGGTCGTAGTACATATAGGTACCAATGACATAGGGAAAGTAGGAGAGAGGTCCTGGAGGCCAAATTTAGGCTGCTAGGTAAAGAGATTGAAATCCAGGATTTCCATGATAGCATTCTCTGAAATGCTTCCAGTTCTATAGACAGGGCCAGTTAGACGGGCAGAACTTGCAGGGTCTAAATGCATGGATGAGATAATGGTGTAGGGAGGAGGGGTTTAGATTTATTAGGAACTGGGGAACCTTTTGGAAAAGGAGGAACCTATACAGCAAGGGTCTCAAACTCAATTTACCTTAGGGCCAGTGCCAGTCCTCAAATCCTCATAGCGGGCCAATAATGTCACTGAAGATGGTGTTCATGCCACCTCCCAGCCTGTTTCCCACCCTTTTCCCTCACTCCCTTGGCCTCATGCCGCCCCAGCTGACTTTGCCCGGCAACTAATGATGCTGCCTCCATGTGTGACTCTGCCCAGCAACTAGTGATGGTATATCTGTCCCTCTCCCCCAGCCAATGGGAGCTGTGGGGGGCGGCGCCGGCAGCGTGGCTGCATGGGTCTCTCCTCTGCGGCTCCGCCAGCAACAGCAGGGATAGAGAACCGCTTGCAGGGAGCCGAGCTGCCCGAGGTGAATGACACGTTGCCGAGTGCAACCCCTGGAAGGGTCCCAGGAGCAGCAGGATGGAGCAACATTGGGGGAAGGGGCATGTGAATCTCTCCTGCCCGCTCCCCTCCCTCCCCCTTCTTTGGCCGGCAGCCATGAGGGCCGGATGAAAGAACTTTTTAAAAAGATTCCGCGGGCCGCAGTAGGGAGGTTCTTGGGCTGCCGATGGCCCTCGGGCCGGGACTTTGAGACCTGTGCTATACAGGAAGGATGGGCTCTTCCTAAACCAAAAATAAGCAGATTGCTGACATGTAAAATTTAAAAGGTTATAAAGAAGTTTTTAAACTTAGGGCTGGAGGAAAGCCAACAGTTGTGAAGGAGCACATGGTTCAGACAGAGACGTTCCGTAGGGGAGAAACAGTCAAGTGAAAGAGTCCCATTCATTTACATCACATAATGGCAGACAGCTGAAAAAGTGACAAATTTTATAAGTGCTTATATCCAAATGCTAGAAGTCTATATACTAAGATTGATGAATTTGAGTGCCTTGTATTAAATGAGGATATTGATAGAATAGGCATCACAGAAACTTGGTGGAATGATAATCAAGAGGACACGGTAATACCGGGGTAGAATATATATAGGAATGACAGAATAGGTTGTGCTGGTGGAGGAGTAGAAGCTATATATGTGAAAGAAAGCAGAGAATCAAATATAGTAAACATCTTAAATGAACCAAACAGTACAATAGAATCTCTCTGGATAGAAATTCCATGCTTGAATAATAAGATTATAGCACTAGGGACATACTACCGATCACCTGACCAGGATGGTGAGGATGACTGTGAAATGCTCAGAGAGATTAGAGAGGCTATAAAAAACTCAGTAATAATGAGGGATTTCAACTATCCCCATATTGACTGGATGGGATGCAGAGATAAAGTTTCTTGATACCTTAATGACTGCTTCTTGGAGCAACTAGTCTTGGAACCCACAAAGGGAGAGGTAATTCTTGATTTAGTCCTAAGTGGAGTACAGGATCTGGTCCAAGAGGTGACTATAGCTGAACTACTTGGTAATAGTGACCATAATGTAATTAAATTTAACATCCCTGTGGGCCGTAAAACACCAAAGAAGCCCACTACAGTAGCATTTAATTTCAGAAAGGGGAATTACACAAAAATGAGGAAACTAGTTAAACAGAAATTAAAAGGTACAGTCCCCAAAGTAAAATATCTGTAAGCTGCACGGAACCTTTTAAAAAACACCATAATAGAGATTCACATTAATCATATACAAATTGATTGTGACTGGGCAAGGAAATGGAAGATGAAATTCAGTGTTGATAAATACAAAGTTTAAATTAGCTGTTGCCACTCAGAGATCTTGGATTAATTGTGGATCGTTCTCTGAAAACATCCACTCAATGTGCAGCGGCAGTCAAAAAAGCTAACCAAATGTTAGGAACCATGAGGAAAGGGATAGATAATAAGACAGAAAATATCATAATGCCTCTATATAAGTCCATGGTATGCCTACATCTTGAATACTGCTTGCAGATCTGGTTGCTCCCTCTCAAAAAAGATATTTTGGAATTTGAAAAGGTACACAGAAGGGCAACAAAAATCATTAGGGTTATGGAACAGCTTCCATATGAGGCAAAATTAATAAGACTGGGACTTTTCAACTTGGAAAAGAGATGACTAAGGGGGAATCTGATAGAGGTCTATAAAATCATGACTTGTATGGAGAAAGTAAATAAGGAAGTGTTATTCGCTCCTCCTCATAACACAAGAACTAGGGGTCACCAAATGAAATTAATAGGCAGAAGATTTAAAACAAACAAAAGGAAATACTTCTTCACACAACACATAGTCAACTTCTGGAACTCGTTGCCAGGGAATGTTGTGAAGGCCAAAACTATAACAGGGTTCAAAAAAGAACTAGATAAGTTCATAGATAAGTCCATCAATGGCTATTAGCCAGGAGCGGCAGGGATGCAACAGCATGCTCTGAGTATCCTTAGCCTCTGTTTGCCAGAAGCTCCGAGTTAATCGAGGGAGGGATAGCTCAGTGGTTTGAGCATTGGCCTGCTAAACCCAGGGTTGTGAGTTCAATCCTTGAGAGGGCCATTTAGGGATCTGGGACAAAAATCTGTCTGGGGATTGGTCCTGCTTTGAGCAGAGGGTTGGACTAGATGATCTTCTGAGGTCCCTTCCAATCCTGATATTCTGTGACACGATGGATCACTTGATTGCCTGTTCTATTCATTCCCTCTGAATCACCTGACATTGGCCACTGTCAGAAGACAGCATACTGGGCTAGATGGACCATTGGTCTAACCCATTATAGAGTCATAGAATTGTGGGACTGCAGTAGATCTCAAGAGGTCCTCTAGTCCAGTCCCCTGCAGTCATGACAGAAGTATTCTTCTTTGAGTGCTTGCTCGTGTTCATTCCATATTA